CCGAGTGTGACTGCAATTGGAGATCGGGTCTTTACAGCAGTCATTTAGCTCCTGTGTGGTCTGACTTCCACGTGACAGAGGAGCATCTCTTCGTGCGCGTGGCCTTTCAGCGCTCGTAACGTAGCCCAGGACTGCGCTTCTTCGTGGTCTGAGCTCCCATACCACGCTGGGCGCTCTTGTGGTCAGCTGAAACCACCAGATTCACCCTCCACCTAGACTGCTACATCTCAGACTATGCCAGGGCAGTATTTGATCAGAGATTATATGGTTAATAGCATACAGATATGATTAGCAGCATACATGTTTTTGCATATTTGAATGTGGATACATAAAATGGGTTTTTCTGGATCACAATCTGGATGTCCTCCGTTTGAATCAAATCCACCCCTGAGACTAAAAGGTCTTGCATATTCTTCAAGCTGTTGGGGTGCAGGTCCACATGCCCTTATCCATAATGCTGAAATCCAAAAGACGCTACAATCCAAAAGATCTTTTAAGAACTCATTTGGTGGCAAAACCTGAGCCGAAGCTATTTATAGGCTATAGTCATTCCACTTAGTGTGAATATTCAGGCATTTTTATGCAGATATGTTTTGATTAAAGATTTCTTCCTCGGCTGGGCGTGCTGGATCATGCCTGTAATCTCAGCACTTTGGGAAGCTGAGGCAGGTGGATCACCTGAGGTCAGCAGTTCAAGACCAGCCTGGCCAACATGGTGAAACCCCATCTCTACTAAAAAATACAAAATTAGCTGGGCATGGTGGCACATGCCTGGAATCCCAGCTACTCGGAAGGCTGAGGCAGGAGGATCGCTTGAATCCGGGAGGCAGAGCTTGCTGTGAGCTGAGATCATGCCACTGCACTCAAGCCTGGGCGACAGAGCAAGACTCCATCTCAAAACAAAACAAAACAACAAAAAAGATTTCTTCCTCAGTGTTCACTGAGGCTTTACCACCAAATATACAATATACTCACTGTATTAATTTTTTTATTTGTTTTTATTTTTATTTATTTATTTATTTCAAGGCGAAACCTTGTTCTGTCATCCAGGCTGGAGTACAGTGGCATGATCTCAGCTCACAGCAACCTCCGCCTCCCGAGTTCAAGCGATCCTCCTGCCTCAGCCTCCTGAGTAGCTGGGATTACAGGCATGCATCACCATGCCCAGTTAATTTTTTTTGTATTTTTTAACAGAGACGGGGTTTCATCATGTTTTCCAGGCTGGTCTCGAACTCCTGACCTTAGGTGATCCACCAGCCTCGGCCTCCTGAAGTGCTGGGATTACAAGCGTGAGCCACCGCCCCCAGGCCCTAATCTTTTTCTTAAAAACCTGAAATCAAAAACATACCTGACCCTAAGGGTGGTAGATAAGGGATAAAGGACCTATTGTCAAAGCCCAGCTTAAGTCTAACAACAACAACAACAAAAAAAACCGCAGATCATTTTCTTGCTGTGTGACATGGTATCTACTTTTGGGGCTGTAGATTAAGGCCTTTTTTATTTCTAAAAGTTCTGCATTAACATTGAACATTGGCCAATCTAGGTTATTTCTAAAGGCCTTCCAAAGACCTAGAGATAGAGGCCGCCACGATTCCCTGTCATTTCCCCCTTAAAGAGAAATATTCAAGATCCGTGAATATCTGTGGCCATCTTGGGAATTCTGTGACACTTTTTGGCACTCTGACTTGAAGTATTTAATAGAGGAAATTAAATTGGAAGGCTTTCCTCTTACATATCTATCAAGTTAAAACTTTTTGGGATAAATTTTTTATCAGTTTTAGTACATATTCATGTTATAAAATGGAACATACATGTTATTGAAACTTAACTATTTTTTTCTTTGTTTCTTTTTTTTTTTTTTTTTGTAGAGACAGGGTCTCATGATGTTGTCCTGGCTGGTCTCAAACTCCTGGCCTCAAGTGATCGTCCTGATTTAGCTTCCCAAAGTGTTGGGATTATAGGTGTGAGCCACCGTACCTGGCCAAAACATTTTATTCTGAAGTGTAGTCTCTACAAATTGTCTTTAAAAGTGTGAATGGTTAAGTTAAATTCTTGCATTACTTTTCTTCCCAAATAAAATTACTTAAGGAAAATTTTCCCCTCCCATCTGTGTGGGCTCAAGTAGTGCATCTTGAAAGTAATACCCTTGCCTACTCAGAACACTCAACTGAGTCAGGGAGATTCTACACAAAGGTGTTTCGCTGGTTTTATTTCACAAGGAAACAATATGAAGTGAAGCCAATCTGTTCCTTCTGTGGCTTTAAACGCTCCCGATCCCTCAGCTGTGAAACAGCGATAGCATTGTCCAGATCTTCCCGGGTGGTTGTGTGAGTTAGAGATAATTTTTATAATTTGCCAAAGCACAAGAGGGCCCTGAGTAAAGGATGTGGGTGTGGGTATCTTTGTATGTTTATAATTACCATTTCCATCAGGAAGAACAGCAAGACTTCACCTAATCTAAAATATCTGTGGCGTTAAAATATAGGGAATAGAGAACTATAATCTCTCTTCCACCAAGCAGAAGTGGAAAATAAAGGAAGATGCTAAGAGGAAAGCTGGGCAGTTTGATCTCATCTGAGAGGTGTGAGGAAGCAGGAGACATCCGAGAACCAGCTGTAGAACCTGGCAGTGACAGACAGAAGAACTGGGGAATGAGCCCTAGGACCAATATTTAATTTATTTGAAGGTGTCAGAAGCTGAGGTTGCAGAATTGGGTCCTTTTTAGCAGCTACCGCCCCTGGATGTAGTTTGTGAGAGGAAGGGAAATAAAGAGAAAGCAGACCCCGGCTGGGCACAGTGGCTCAGGCTTGTAATCCCAGCACTTTGGGAAGCCAAGGCAGGCGGATTGCCTGAAGTCAGGAGTTCGGGACCAGCCTGGTTAACATGGTGAAACCCCATCTCTACCAAAAATACAAAAATTAGCCAGGCGACCTGTAGTCCCAGCTACTAGGGAGGCTAGGCCAGGAGAATCGCTCCATCCAGAGAGGGGGAGGTTGCAGTGAGCTGAGATCACACCACTGCAACACCAGCCTGCATGACAAAGTGAGACTCTGTCTCAAAACAAAACAAAACAAAACAACACAACACAACAACAAAAAAATAGAGAGAGAGAAAGCCGACCCCACAAGCTGACATGGAAATGAGTTTATACTTATAATGCTCTCAGTGTCCTTGATCTATCCCTGGTGTAGGCAACAAAATTAATTCCCTCCTTTTATTTATTATCCTTTTATGCACCTTGGGACAGCTAGGGCTGCTGGCTTCTGTGGCAGTGAATTTCCCCTAGAACGGGGCTTGGACAGTACACGTTCCCAGTGGCTCATCAGAAGTACTTTCTGCAAGGGGATTCTGCAGAACCTCGGGAGGGATGCCTGGAGGAGCCACGGAAGCCCCATGTGGCCCCTATTACTAAGGACACCGCTTTCCAGCCTGTGAGTCTCCTTTAGGTTCAGTGAGCTTCGTGTTCACCGGAAGGAAGGCACATTTTTTTCCTCCTTCCTTCTCTTCCACTCCCCTTTGAGAAATGAAACCATCTGAGAAAAAAGAAGGCTGGGCTCTGCAATATGGGTCAAACCAAGTGGTAACTCTCAAGACTGAGCATACATTATATTCACCAGGGAAGGGATTTTTGGTTCTGGTTTTTTTTTTTTTTTTTGAGACAGGGTCTCACTCTTACCCAGGCTGGAGTGCAGTCGTGCAACCATGGCTCACTGCAGCCTCGACTTCCTGGGCTCAAGCAAACCTCCCACCTCAGCCTCCCAAGTAGCCGGGACCACAGGTGTGTGCTACCACACTTAGCTAATTTTTAAAATTTTTTGTAGAGGCAGGGACTTGCTATATTGCTCAGGCTGGTGTCTAACTCCTGAGCTGAAGCGATCCTCCTGCCTTAGCCTCCCAAAGTGCTGAGATTACAGGCATGAGCCACTAAGTCTAGTTGACTGGGGAAGCTTTTAAAATAGACTGACATACATCCCCCACTGCACAACAGCTAAGTCAGAACCTTGGAGGTAGGGAGTACGGATTCTGTCTTTCCAGTTCTGTACAATAACCTGAGGTGTGATGACATGAGCCATTTTGCACACCATTGGAGACCCTAAAATGCTACAAACACCTACTCAGCCCCTCATTATGCCTGTCTGTCACAGGGAGGCTGGAAACCTATAGCTAAGGAAAGAGACTGTGTGTGCTGTTCATCAAGGGAACATGTGACTTCCACACATGATGGACACCAGAGATGAGGCCCAAGCTGGTGACAGGCCCACATGGAGGGAAGGATCACATGCTTGATTGAGAGGGAAAGTCAAGTGGAAAATGGTAAGAAGAGGAAGGAGGAAGTGGGAGAAGCAAAACAAGGTGAAGACAAATTTAATAATTTTCTTTAAATAAATTTGTTATGCTAAAAAAAAACTTTAGTCATTTTCTAGAGACTTCTTTTTGCCTTAGGGATTCTTTATAGTTCCACTCCATGTAACATATTGGGTAATACTTGTGGTTCTGAAACAAAATGCGAGCAGGGGGTGTACACAGAAAACTTACCACCATGAATCCAGGGACCAACTGTGCAGACATTATGTAATGATAATATTCTATCGTTGTGAACATGGCACTTGTGAATCAATAATTTTAGAATATTTTAGAAAGGACATTTTAAAAAAATCACATAGGAAACGAAGTTAAAATTTAGAGAAAAGTAGAATATTTTATCCCATCTTCTAAGCACCTCAAGCCTAAACAAAACACACAGAATGAAATTTTAATGATGCCTGTTAAGCCTATTTGAAAACAAATTCTATCTGGCCCCCATAAACGGATTTTCAGACGTTGAGGTGATCAACTCCTTGGTTCTCCAATCTGAAATGCTCAAAGGAAGGAGGTAGAACTTGGGCAAGTTTAAAGTATGTAGCTCTATTGAATCACTTCTAACCACCCCACCCCCAACTAATGACCAGTTTTTACACTGACCACAGCTGAAAATGTAAACACAAATAAAAAGCTTGAGATGTTATTGGACGAGGTGTATTAAAATAAAATCAAAAATAGAAATATTAGGTATATACACGACAGCATAAGTGAAACACATAATGTGATACAGAAGTTTCCATTCAAAGCTTACAGGAGAAAAATTTAGTAAACAAAACGGCTTGAACCTCCCGCCACCATGGCTCACTAGAGCCTCCTAGTCACTTACGTTCCTTCATATCCTTGGGTATAAATAGTCTCATACACATGCTACACAATTTAGAAAAGATTGCTGAATCATAAAAATAGCCCCAAATGTGGCACTTTAACTTTCTAGAGTACAACTAAAATTAATACTTGATCTTTAACATAATGTTCAAATCTTTGAAGCAACAAAGGAAACTCTTATGTTTTAGAAGGCCCTATAAGGTTCTTCAGAGATTAGAATCTTAGTTCTTCCAAACTACACTGTCAAAACAAATCTGGATATAGGAAATTGTGGAAATGAAAAAGCTGGACCCTTAAAAATATTCCTTCTAAACACAGAGCAGTTTCTGAGGCTCTTCTCCCTTTCCTGGGAGGTCCAGGTGAGCCCGGTGCCCTCGGGTGCACATTGCACGGCACGGCAGCTGTGTGTGCTCATGGGCTCTTCCTGCTGGAAGAGACAGAGATGTGCACGCCACTCCTGTGGTATGTCTAGCAGGTCTGAGCAGTGTTCATGGGAGAAAAATGTTTAACAGTCTCAGATTTTGGGAGGTAGGGAAAAAAAAAACACATCGAAATCTGGAAAAGACATTTTTAAGCTGCTGACTTCACCTGCAAAATCTAACAGGTTGGATTAGTAATTTTTTTTTTTTTTTTTTAACAAGTAAGCCAAAGCATAGAGAAAAATACAAAGAAATGTCATGCTATGTATCTGGTTATTTTAGCTTTATAAGTGAGTTTAGTTCTGATATTATTGGGGATTCATTGCAATGGTCTCTGAAACTTTGAGTCCTATGTCCATTTGTAAACATAGAGCTAGCTGGGTGTATTTTTGGAGGGAATAGGTGTTTTCTTCTCAAAAGGCTGCACTCAGACGTTGTCAAGGAGAGTAAGATTACCAGCTGCTGAGGACAAGTCCAAGTTGCAACTGGGTGAAGCATCCATCTAAGAGTACAGAATACTTTCCCATGCAGAGGGTGTTCTTCCTGAGTAATTGAGCCTCTATTTCAGGATCCAGGCACGGCAGAAGATCCCAGCACATGAAATAATAAGTGCAACCAGTGATGGTTACTTTTCCTCTCTAAATGAGGCAGCCACCCCTGCCAGACGGACGGGTTTCCCTGTGCTCTAAGGCTGCTGCTGGTACTGCCCTTCCGTGGCTGTGTAGAAATCATCCAGGACGCTCTGTAAGTAATCAAATGTTGGTCTCTCTTCTGCCTTTTCTTTCCAGCACATTTTCATAATGTCATAGAGCTCATCTGGGCAGTTCTCCACACGGGGCATCCTGTAGCCCTGGGACAGGGCAGTCATCACGTCGGCATTAGTTCTCCCTAGGGTGGGAAAAACAAAAACAAAAAAGAAAAACCATGCCGTTTAAAAAGCTGGCAGAGGGTCAAGTACTGCAGTGGTTTTTTGCTCCTCACGTCCTGCAACCATGATTGAAACAAGCTTTACTGAGGCTGTTAGGGGTTGAACGGCATCCTCCCAAAATTCCTAGGTTGAAGTCCTAGCCCTCAGTATACCTTAGAATTGACTGCACCATATTTAGAGATAAAGCCTTCATAGAGGTAACCAAGTTAAAATGATGGCCAGGCGCGGTAGCTTATGCCTGCAATCCCAGCACTCTGGGAGGCTGAGGTGGGGGGATCACCTGAGGTCAGGAGTTTGAGACCAGCCTGACCAACATGGAGAAACCCCATCTCTACTAAAAACCACAAAATTAGCTGGGCGTGGTGGTGCATGCCTGTAATCCCAGCTACTAGGGAAGGCTGAGGCAGGAGAATCCCTTGAACCCAGGAGGTGGAGGTTGCGGTGAGCCGAGATCGTGCCATTGTACTCCAGCCTGGGCAACAAGAGCAAAACTCCGTCTCAAAAATAAATAAAATAAAATAAAATAAAATAAAATAAAATAAAATAAGGCCATTTGGGTGGGTCTTAATCCAATATGACTAATATTCTTATAAGAGGAGATTAGAACACAGAATAGTACAGGGGAAAGGCCATGTGAAGACACAGGGAGAAGGCGGCCATCTAAAAGTCCAGGAGAGAGGCCTCGCTCGGGAGAAACCAACCCGGCCAGCACCTAGACCTTGGACTTTGAAACTCCAGAACCCTGGAAAAATAAATGTCTGTTGTTTAAATTACCCAGTGTGTTGTATTGTTATGGCAGCCCTTGCCAACTAATACAGAAGCTAAGGAAATTTCTGCAAGCAACTCAATAAATAAATTTTAGTATGGAGGGGATCAAGACAGCATTCAGTTTGCCAAAATCTGTTAAGTAGGAGCCACAGCCAAGTTCTCTTTAATAACAAAAGGATATTGGACTTGCCTGACATTTCACATAAGTCACCTAAATTCAATCTTTTTTTTTTTTTTTTTTTTTTGAGATGGAGTCTGGCTCTGTCGCCCAGGCTGGAGTGCAGTGGCCGGATCTCAGCTCACTGCAAGCTCCGCCTCCCGGGTTCCCGCCATTCTCCTGCCTCAGCCTCCCGAGTAGCTGGGACTACAGACGTCTGCCCCCTCGCCTGGCTAGTTTTTTTTTTGTATTTTTTAGTAGAGACGGGGTTTCACCGTGTTCGCCAGGATGGTCTCGATCTCCTGACCTCGTGATCCGCCCGTCTCGGCCTCCCAAAGTGCTGGGATTACAGGCTTGAGCCACCGCGCCCGGCCCTAAATTCAATCCTAACTCTTAACTTTAATTACGTTTGCAGGGTAGCATTCTTTCAGCTTCAACCTGTAGTGTATTTATATTAAAAACAAATTTTACCACATATTATCTTATACAGACATTTTTCAAAAATTGGCTTTTCATTTAATAATTGGTATTTTCATTTACTTAAAGTCAACATCCTTAAGTCAGCCCGACCAATTGATTACATGCTTGCCAAATAGTTAAAAACTTAGGGATTAATTTGGAAAATAATGATGGTTCAGTTAATCTGAAGGACACTTGTCTGTAGTTTGTACTACATATCTCGTGGATGTCACTGTCTTTTAAGAGCAAGATATTAATTGAGGAGGAAAACTGAACCCCAATCATAGTCTCAAGTGGAGCTACTTCACAGACACAGTTAATTGTTCCAATCTACAGTACCTGGCCAGAGTGACAGCTCACTCTGACTCTGGATTTGCATATTCTTGACCTCCAGGAGAGAAGTAAGGTGCTCATTACTCCTCTAGAGCTCTGCAAAAGGCCTGGTAATAGAGGATTTTTAAATGTGGTCAAATGTCTCAGAGTAATTCAGAAACTGAACTGTTAATCTTTGATCCTGAGAATAGCTTCAAGGGGTAAAAAAGATTACAATAATAACATTTTCCTGCATGATAAAGGAGATTAATCCTTTAATTATATCCTTATCTAGCAGTACCTATCCACACCTGTATGTTTTGCATATTTTGTGGATACCCTGTTCTGTAGGATGTGAACTCTAGAGAAGACTGTATTTCACGCAAAGTATATACAATTTCTGGTACATGAGAGGGGCTGCATTCATCACAACTAATTTCCTTTCCATAGCTATCTCTTTTTCAAAGCTGTATATTTTACCATCCGTGGTCACTGGAAGGATTCGAAATAAGTGGCAGCTTTAGGGGAAATGGTTTTTACCAGATTTGAAACAGAACCTTGTTTTGAATGTATTCTCTAATCAGTGTTTTCCAAATTGCGCGGCACTATCCGCATTTGGGATCAACAATTTGGGATCAACAAATTGATTTTTTTAGGGTACTACTAGTTTTTTTTTTTTTTTTTTTAGGCAGAGTCACCCTCTTTCACCCAGGCTGGAGTGCAGTGGTGAGATCTCGCCTCACTGCAACCTCCCCCTCCCAGGTTCAAGTGATTCTCCTGCCTCAGCCTCCCAGGTAGCTGGGATTACAGGTGCCCACTACTATGCCAGGCTAATTTTTGTATTTTTAGTAGATACAGGGTTTCACCATGTTGGCCACGCTGGTCTCAAACTCCCGACCTCAAGTGATCTGCCCATCTTGGCCTCCCAAAGTGCTGGATTAAAAGCGGAAGCCACCGCATCCAGCCAACTACCAGTATTTTAAAAAATGAATTATAACAGAATAAAACAGAAAAGGTCAGAAAGCACTGCACATAGGAAAGGTCAATATGGTTTTATGAAACATTTGCTTTATATACAGAGTAGGTTTCTGTGTATTTCTCACAATGCCTTATGGCCAGTGAACTTTGAGATCCTCTGCCTTTAACTTACCTTTTTTCATCTAAGGACACAGTGACCTTTCCTGAATTTAAACCCCTGAAAGAAGACATGATCATTTCTGTCTTGGAAGAGCCCTTGTTTTTGAAATTGAAAGATCCACACAAACTTTATAATGATTCAGATCTCTTGAGAATTATTTATACAGCAAATCAATTTTCCTGAGTCTAATTCTGAGTCTATCTTCAAATATTTATGTGACTAGAATTTTCTAACTGAAAGACTTCATTTGATTCTCATTGCTCAAAGCCAAAGACAGATTTGTATCATCCTCTTTATTTGGAAGTTTTAGTCTCTGTAAAATGATACGGCCTCAGCATTGCTCTGGTTCTTTTAACTAGCCAAGCTCACTTGGATAAATTTCAGGAGAAAGATCTGTGTATACTTCTACTTTCTTGGTTGAAATTCTGGGATCGTGGTGGGAGGACTAACATCCAGTATAGTATAAATAGCAACTGGACCTGCAAACTCAGTTTGGAGTATCTCTTTCACTTCCTTCCTGGAGAAACTTCATTTGCATAAAAGGTCAGAATGCAGCCACAGCAGAAGATAAAGCTTTCTAGGTCACCCTAGCCCCACAGCAGGTTTTTTTCTTCCTGGTTCCAGTATGTTCTCCTAGCTCTGAAGGACTCTCGATGATGCTGGTAAAGGCTGGACATGCTCCACCCTGTTTGGGGAATTCGACTTGATAAGAAGAACTGGAAGAATGGAATCTGAAGCCTATCTTTTTATGTACAAGTAAAGCAACAAATGACATCCGGTATTAAATGACAAGTCTTGTGAAAGAAAGAAATAGAAGAGGAGAGGGACCTCAACCAGACCCTAAGGTTACATGTGATAGTTGGCGTTGGCCTGTTGCTAAGTTAAAAAAAGTAAACACCCATTGGCATTGGCTGGTGATCACCCATTGGCATTGGCTGGTGAACACAGTTTCATTCTCCATCCTTCCTCCTTTCAACAAGCACTTACTGAGTCCTCACTGCGGGTCATGAACTAGCACTGAGCTCTGAGACATGCAGAGATAGTTAAGACAGAGCGTTGTCCTCAAACGACACACAGCCCAGTCGGGACAGTGTCCTCACTAGAAGGAGGTGGTGGGGAGCAGGGGGTGGCATCTGGAGTGGGTAGAAATCAGCAGAGACTACAAGTTGGTAAAGGAGCAGAAGAAAGAGAAAAATGTGGCACAGCAGAGACAAGGAACAGACAGCTAGCGACAGGGAGGAGCCCAGCTGCACCACAAACTATGGTAATCTTCAGTCACACAGGGCCCCTGCGCGTGTGTATCAGGAAGAGCCAGATACCCTGGGACTACAGTCTCCCACCCAATCACACTCCTTTCAAAAGGGCAAATTATTATTACTATTACTATTTTCTGAGTTTTGCTTGTGATCACGGTGAGTGTTTGTGGCAGGACACATTTTTTGATTCTCATTCAGCTGGCATTAAGATGCTAGATATATCCAGTCAGAAACAGCCAGAAAAGACATGATGCTTCAGAAAATTTTTTCACTTTCAAACCTTTCGCTTTGTATAAACAAAGCAAAACAAGACCCCAATCAGGACCCAACAAGACACCCCCACCTTTTTTTTGGGACAGGATCTCACTCTGTTGCCCAGGCTGGAGTACATGGTGCGATCATAGCTCACTGCAGCCTCAAACTCCCTGGGCTCGGTGATCCTCCCACCCCAGCCTCCTGAGATGCTGAGACTACAGGTGCATACCACCATACCCTGGTAATTTTTAAATTATTTTGTAGAGGCAGGGTCTTGCTATGTTGTCCAGGCTGGTCTCAAATTCCTGGCCTCAAGAAATCCACCTGCTTTGGCCTCCCAAAGTGCTGGGATTACAGGCATGAGCCACCATGCCCAGCCAGACCCCTCTTTTTTTCTGTATAAAATTTATAGAGAAATATAATCATAGTTTTGGTTTTAAGATAATGAAGTAAAGATCTTTTGCCTCCTCCCCACTTTTTTTTTTTCCTGTAATTCATCCCAAAACAAAAAAGAGAACAAGAAATAGAAACTTAAACTCCATCTCTGATGATGCTAAGAGACACCTGGCAGCCAGAGGAAGAAGTGGTCTGAGCCAAGAGGAAGAAAGTGCAACC